TTAAAACGACAATTAAAGGAATAAATTAATAGACTTTGTTTACTATTCTGCTATTTATCTGTTTTTGTATATTAAATACTAAATTATAGTTTGTTTTCGTTACAATTAAATAATTGTAAGGACCTTTAAGAATCAGTATAGGGATCGTCCATAAATTAACGCTATTTTTTAATACTTTTCATCTGGCATTCCATCCTCCGTAACACTCCAAATGTGTCGTACTGTACAGTACAGTACATACCCATGCCCAAAATAACGTATCCTAGATCGACCCCCTTAATTGTAGCAAGGAATAATACGCAACACGAGTTTCTGAACGTTATATTATATTATTAATTACGTACAAAGCAGCGATATACAGGTTCAACTCTCCGGAAAGAAAAATAAATTATTCTGTTACGATCTGATAGCATTACGTAACGTTTTTGTAAACACTCCCATCTCCTTGTAACGCATCGTAACGCTTATTTGCATAACCACTCATCTGTATATGCATTAACATAATTTATGGAAATCCCCTAAGTTTATAAAACTGAATAGTTTAAAATTAATTGCATTGATTGACCATGTATAAAATTATTTATATTTCATTGTTTTATTAAAACGAAACAATATTTCTATTTTGTATTATGTTTCTAGAATTATTTATTATATTTTTTAAAAAAAATTTATATATCATTCTTCAATTTCTTAAAAGATTAATAAACATAAAAAGCATCTCAACTTATTATTATTATTCATTATTAGTAATTTGTTTTTTGATTCTTCTTTGATTAATAATAAATATAATGTTCATATTATTTATTCATGCAAAAATGAATGTAAGTTATTTATATTTGGATTTTAAAATAACGAAGAATAATCTCACTAATGCATAATGGCCTTTCTTTATAATAAAGTGTAATGTTACAACGATCTTTTATCGTCATTTCTTGTGTTTGTATGAGATTATTTATTTTTATTTTACATTACTCAAATGAAAAAGTATATAGTCTTATATCATTCTTAAATGATAACATAAATAGTTATCGAATTAGATAACTAATAAGCAATTTAAAGATTAAATAAATAAAACTATAAAGCAATTTGAAAAAATTCTCACTTCGTTCGTCTGTCTGTCCGTCATTAAGTTAGATAGATGAAAGTTGAGACAGGATACAAAAAGCTTAGAGGCAGGAGGCCCAGATTAACTATATATAAACTCCCGTTCTAGAACGAAAGTCATATGAATTCAGTTCAAAAAATTTTTCCCTGAATGGAGTTACATAGATGACTGTTGTTATTAGGAAAAGTATGATGTACAGGAGTGGGTTTGCCCAGTAAAATTTTAATTCTTTACTTACCTAACATCTAAACAGAAGCTAGTTTCCTATAGAAACTTCTCCCGGGAATTACTCTCTTTGACAGATCATCCTTGTGTTGTGATGCTTTATGTCATCAAACCACTTAACTTAAAATGATAACATATTTAAAATATGGCCTTACTTATTACTAAATAATTTAAGCATCAATCATTTGTATTTAAATTTAAAATAATTTTTAAAACTATATTGTTTGTAACAATCCTAAACAAAAGTTTATAGGAAAACTGTTAGAAATAATCTCATATAATCTGAAGTGATACTTTTTCATTTCCATATATCTTCTATATTATAAACATAGCAGTTATTTGAAACTTTCTTACCATTATTACGTATATTTTTCTAGATTTATCGATTATTTTTACTTTATATGATGATAAACTTTCATACGCAAATCCATTTTAAGATTGATGAGTTCCTGTCTGTATAGTAACTACATTTTTTTTTTTTTTAAAAAAAGCTTCAATTTTAATCTGTTAAGGTAATTTTTCCATAGATAAACATTTTTAAAACTTAATCTGATAGAGAAAAATTTTAATATTTTTATCAAAACCAAACTTTTTAATAAAATAAAATAAAAAATATCCTAATACATCGTTCAGTTTCGTTTTATAAAGTAAAAAAACACTTAAAAACTTATAATAATTATCATAGAAATGATGGCATTTTTTAAATAATTTTATATTTTTTAACTATAATTTTTTTTAGTTCTGATTTACGCTATACAAACGTACATAATTGTAATTCGATATAAAACTAATAATGATTTTATATATAAAAATAATTATATAAAGTTTGTTTTCAAAGCAGCGAATTCAATTTATAAGAAACAAATTCGATACGGCAGAGAAACAAGATAAAATAATAATAATTATAAAGTTTTTGGTGAGATTTTTCTATAAAGAAACGATTAAAAACAAATGTCTTATAAAATCAAAAACAAAATATACTCAATTCACTTGTATTTTATATAGCTTATATTCTTAAAACACGTGGGAGATTTCCACTGTCTGTTTTCCTTTCCTTAATATCAAGAACGGAGTTAGATAGACGAAATCCGAGACCAGATATGGAAACGTTAGGATCAGGAGGTCCCATTTGACTATATATAAACTATCGGTAGTTATTTCAATTCAAAAATTTTCCTCTCGAAAGGAGTTAGATAGATGACCCGCACGACTCCGTTGCTAAAGGAGAAGTATGATTTACAGGGGCAAGATACTAATTTGAGATGGAGAGCGTATATTTTAAATTTAAAATATTTAAAAAATATCATTAAAAATTACAGTATTGTGACGATCTCTCTCACAGTAAATAATTTCTTTGTAAGTAATTATGATACAACTGAGATATGTTATATTTTTATCAAAGATAGTCTATGAATATATTTAATATATTTTTTTTTAAATTGAGAATTTGAATAAATATGATGAATTGTCTGGCGTATAAAGATTATAATGGTTTCAAAATTATGCCAGAATTTTTGTTCGAGAAACAGGACACCAAATTATGATGATAAATAATCATTAAATTGGTATTCATGTTTCTGACAATCCAAAACACCATTAGATAATTATCCACGTTTATTATTTTGCACTTTGATATTAATAGGGTGAGAAAAAAATAGAATATTGATTGCGATATTATAATAATAATTAAAAAAAAATACATACATCCCCTTAAAGAGATTTATATACAGTCAACCCCCCTATAACACTATTGATAATTCCGTTTTATATGAATTCCATGTTGTACGAGTCACTTAGATTTTACAAATACGTGAGCCGAGCTGTGAACGGCTCACGTATTTGTAAAATCTAAGTGACTCGTACAACATGGAATTCATATAAAACGGAATTATCAACAGTGTTAT